GCGGCGGGGGCGCCCCGTCCGGCGGGCGACCCAGGCTGGAGGGCAGCCCGGGAGGTCTCCAGTCCAGCTCGCTGCTCAAAGCGGCCTCGGCCGGAGTCGGACCGGGTGGCTCAGGGCTTTGTCCGGTCGGGTCCTGGAAACCTCCAAGGATGGAAAACACACAGCCTCCCTGGGCAGCCTGTGCCTCAGGTCCAGTGTCCCCCCGGGGAAAACGCTGCTCCGTATGTCTAGTCTGAACCTCTCCTGCTTCAACACACGCCCGTTGTCCCTTGGCCTCGCACCACGTGCCGCAGTGACGAGCCTGGCTCCGTCTCGATGATCTCCTCTGCTGAATTCGCAGGCTTGTCGATGCCTTTCTTGTATTAGGGGGGTCAAAACTGGGCACAGCGTCTCGATGTGATCCAACCAGCGCCAAGCAAAGGGGATCATCACTTCCCCTCGACCGACTGGCTACACTCCCGCTAATGCGGCCTGGGAAACTGTTGGCCTGGGCCAACTAGCTATTTGAGCGAAAAGAGAATGCCATCACAAAAACGAGATACGGTTCAAGTTACAGATCAGTATTCAAATTTATGATGGAGGGGAAAGGGACAGGGACATTTTAAGAAGGAGCTTCAGAAATTTTTGTAGAGTACCACAAGGCTATTGTTGGACCTTAAGACCATTGTGGTTTTAGCTGTATTGCTCATGGTATCCAATATTTTTAATGCTGATCACAGTTACTTTAAATTTATAATCTCTGAAGGCTTGTCTATTTTTCCAAGTGCCGTACAAACATCAACTGAACAGTTCTTGCAAACTTCTTAGGGATATACTATGAAAACTGTTCTCTCTCCTGGAAAAATAGAGAAACAATTTCCTTAGGCATCAGCAGAGGCTGCTCTTAGGACTCTAAAACCTTTGAGTAGAATTTCAGATTTTTAGAAAGTTTATATATGGAATTTAAAGACATTTTACCATAGGGTGAGTAGGTATTACTATGAAATACGTAACTTTTTTAATAATAATGAATAAAAATAAGGAGTAAAGAATATGTCATTGAAGAGATTTTTAGCTTTTTTTTCAGTCAACATGTGAATTGCTTTATGTTACAGAATGAGTTAGCAAGTTTCAGGGAGTGTGTATCACAGTGATAGTTAAATCTGATTGTTTCATGAAGTCCAGTTTATTTGTTCAACTCCTCCAGCAATGTCCTGTGTGAAAGTCATGTCAGTCAAAGCCGACTGCAGACGACGTTAAGCCATGCAAGTGAGAGATGCAGCTCATATTGCTTATTCAAGGGGAGAGAACACAGAGGACGGATGGAGTTCAATAAGCGACCAGAAGCTCCGATTTCTGTCTGAACTCCTTTTGTCTGGAAACCAGTCTCAAGAGACTGTACTACTTCCTGGTTGAATGGAAAAGAAGTACTTACTCAAGTACAGAGGCTCTGACTAATTCCTGGTTAGACATCTAACTCCCATTGAAATCAACAGGGTATCATTGCTTAATCATTTTGCTGATTAAAATTCTGGTTAAAATTAAAATGCTGCAATGAGGAGGACCATGCAAGTACATTAGGAACATCTCATCTGTCAACACAGTGTCTTTCCAGGCCACATAAGTCCAAGAAATATTAAAACCTATATGCAATAACGTACCAAAGTTTTTGCTCTACGTGTAAGATTATTCAGTCACATCTGTATCTCATTGTAGCTCATTTCTTCTGAATGTCATGTGAAGCACTATGAAAAAACTTAATAAAATAATCGTAAAATGCCGGTTTTGCCTGTCCTTAAGGCCTGTCACCCTACTGTAGGACAACAGTAGTCTATTGCTTTTATACAGCTTGATTGCATGCTCTATAATATGAATTGTGATGGTACCCTATGAAAATAACCTCACATTACTTAAACTTCAAAATTCTGATCCCAATTTTAAACCCCACTTTACAACTCAGAGCTGTTCCCAAACAGGTTTTGACTCAATGCATGACAGTGATAAAGGCATTGCTCCTTTTCAAACTCAAGCAATGTATAGCTTTAAGGTTTTGCTTAATTATAGAAAGATTTTGTCATAATCTCTTATTCAGGCAAGCTGAGAAGTAATACAGGCAGCAGCAAGCAATAAACATCTGAATTCCAAAGTTCTGTAAGGTATATGGCAGTAAATTGCTTATGACAATGGAAGTATTGTCCTTTATTACTATACTGTTTCTTTTTGACAGGGGAGGTCAGTAAAACAGGAAAGAATCCCAACAAAGACACTCGGGAATGTCAGTTACTGCACAGTGGGGGCATAAATGTGGAGGAAGGGTGGAAGGACATGGAGAGAGGCAGGTATTAACCATCATCCTTCTTAACATCCTTGATATTTTTCTATGGTACTGCAGTGCTTTCAAAAAAAGCCCCGAACAACACAAATAACCCCACTTTACCTCACTTCCAGATTCTGAGACCTACATTTAATGCACGTAATAATTTATTGAAATGCTGCTTGTGACTGTAGCCAGTGTTTTTTCATGTTGAAGGCCATATCAATCTTCATTTTGAGTGACTAACATGCAGCAGTACATTATCATACATCATAAATTATTAAAAAATTGAGAAAGTCTATCATTTTTACACCAATATGTATTACCTGTTAAGGCATAAGCAAGCTGAATACTTGATAATTTGAGATGTTTAAAAAAACAGTTGCAAGGAGGTTTTTTTTCCTTATGACCAAGATGAACAGTTTATAGGTACAGTGATTATATTTCACTGTGGCATAAAAGTTGACTGGGGTCAAGGGGGAAGCACAGTGAGTATGGATAACTTACTATTGCATTTGAGCGGTTTTTAAAACTTCCTGGTTCTGTGGCTGTCAGGCAGCCTAGCATCTCTGCAGCCCACAGAATGGATTTTTAATTTTTAATTTAACTTTGACAGTTTCTACTGCCTTCAAAAGGGCTTTATTCTCTTTGGAAACAGCATTTGCATGCTAGCTGCTATCTGTCTTTATCTTTGATGCGCAACTGTAATATCTAATACTGGAACTCCAATATGTATGTAAAATGCAGTTGGATTCTCAATATAAAGTTTTTGTGTTTAGGACGAAGGTCTGGAATTCAGGAGACCTGACATAAAACTTTGCTAACACACTTCTGTCTGGCCACTATCACTAACAAAACCTTTCAAAAACTTTTAAATAAATTAGGAGACTGCGCCTCATTTTTAAAGTGTAGCTTAAGCACATGAAAGGCAGCGTACAAGTGACTTTAGATGAAAGATAGGCTTTTTTTTTTTTTTTTTTTTTTTTTTTTTTTTTTTTTTTTTTTTTTTTTTTTTTTTTTTTTTTTTTTTTTTTTTTTTTTTTTTTTTTTTTTTTTTTTTTTTTTTTTTTTTTTTTTTTTTTTTTTTTTTTTTTTTTTTTTTTTTTTTTTTTTTTTTTTTTTTTTTTTTTTTTTTTTTTTTTTTTTTTTTTTTTTTTTTTTTTTTTTTTTTTTTTTTTTTTTTTTTTTTTTTTTTTTTTTTTTTTTTTTTTTTTTTTTTTTTTTTTTTTTTTTTTTTTTTTTTTTTTTTTTTTTTTTTTTTTTTTTTTTTTTTTTTTTTTTTTTTTTTTTTTTTTTTTTTTTTTTTTTTTTTTTTTTTTTTTTTTTTTTTTTTTTTTTTTTTTTTTTTTTTTTTTTTTTTTTTTTTTTTTTTTTTTTTTTTTTTTTTTTTTTTTTTTTTTTTTTTTTTTTTTTTTTTTTTTTTTTTTTTTTTTTTTTTTTTTTTTTTTTTTTTTTTTTTTTTTTTTTTTTTTTTTTTTTTTTTTTTTTTTTTTTTTTTTTTTTTTTTTTTTTTTTTTTTTTTTTTTTTTTTTTTTTTTTTTTTTTTTTTTTTTTTTTTTTTTTTTTTTTTTTTTTTTTTTTTTTTTTTTTTTTTTTTTTTTTTTTTTTTTTTTTTTTTTTTTTTTTTTTTTTTTTTTTTTTTTTTTTTTTTTTTTTTTTTTTTTTTTTTTTTTTTTTTTTTTTTTTTTTTTTTTTTTTTTTTTTTTTTTTTTTTTTTTTTTTTTTTTTTTTTTTTTTTTTTTTTTTTTTTTTTTTTTTTTTTTTTTTTTTTTTTTTTTTTTTTTTTTTTTTTTTTTTTTTTTTTTTTTTTTTTTTTTTTTTTTGATACTTTGGTTTTGTTCCACTCATTATTGTCCAGATGTTCCGTGAAATATTGGCCTAATTATCTGAAAGGCTCAGCTTAGCCTAGACCTACAGATCCAGATTTAGACAATTTTTATAGGTGACTTAGAAATTCAGGTCTTACTGTAATGGAAGTTAAGCATTTAACTGCCTAGTGAAATTTTCAAAAGTGGTAACTGTCCAACTTTGTCAGTAAGTACCTAAATTTTACAGCCTGGCCCTAGGGACATTTGAAAAAAATTATCTTTAATTTCTCTACGCCTCCCTTCTCTGTTTATAAAATGAACATATTATCCCTTTCCTCTCTAGCCTTTCTCGGATTACAAACTCTCACCAGGCAGAAAGTGTCTGTTCCTGTATGTCTGTGCATCACAATGGGACGTAGTCTCACCTGATGCTTATTATTTGTATCAGAGTAGTGTTTATATTAGCTAGGTTATACTAGTTTGTTTAACCTATTTGCTTCTAAGAAATGCTACTTACATAGCATTTCTGCCATGGGCTGCCATTTACAACTCCCAGAAGTTAATAATAATAATTTGAGTAATTCCTTCAGAATGTATCACTTCTGTCAAAAAAGACCAATTTCACTTATATCATAACAAGTCTAGCAAAACTATAGAACTATTCACCAGCAATGAAGCCTGTAATTATAAACTTTGTTCAGTGTCCTTCTTCACGTTTGCTGAAGTAATCAGATATGAACAGACTCTTTACTTAATCTTTAATATCTACTTCTGACTGCATAAAAGTCTCCTGGCTACTGATTAGAGATATGCCACAAAACTGAACTCCAAAATTTTTAACCATGTTTCAAGAAACTTGGTAACTGGCAAGTGTTAGTATCAGGAAATTTAGGGGGGAAGAGAGGCGATGAACCAGTTACAGGAAAAGAAGTATGAAATTTGGGGTTGCCTACAGAAGTTAAAAGTCACAGCATCCAGGGATATTGCAGCATGAGGATTTTGTTCAACATACTTCAGATGTTCTTAATATTCCCATCTTATACAGCTTTTATAGATAAAATACAGATAGACTATTAGAAGAAACCAATCGTTGAGAGACATACTCCCTTCATCTTTCCATATCCTAGGCTGTTCTATGAAAATCATAAATGAAAAATGTATTCCCTTTTAAGTCAACAGGATTTTTGCCATTGATCTGAATAAATTCAGGATTTCTCTAGATCATCTAAATGATACATTACTTTTCTGAGAATTGTTAATTAGGATGATCTTCCTTCTACCAGAAGGAAAACGGAACTTACTGTAGAGGTACTCACTGTAAAAACTAACTTTGTCAGAGAGATTCACTGCAGGAACTTTCAAAGAACATCAGCTACTTAAAAGAGAATTTACTGC